AGGGCGGTTAATAAACACACTGTATTGGCTCAGTACTTGGGAGATTTGTACACAACCCTTGGAAGTCTGGCAATGGCATGGCTCAGGTGAAGCACCATAAATGCTTCTTTATTCAGTGGTTGTTGAGATGTAACAAATGGTCATTTTTCAAGAGCCCTTGAGTTGTTTAGGGAAAAAGTGTAAATCCTGGCTGAGTTTAACTCTCCTGGGGGTGTGTTGGTCTCTAGAGAATTGTATTCCAAAGTACATGGGGGCGAACTGCACCTAATCCCTGCTGACTTCGTGTAGCCTGTTGTGAGGTGCAGCAGTTTGCTTGTTGCACGGTGCAGGATGAGTGTCTCCTGTCTTCAGTGATTTCTTCATTCAGTTTTCTTAAGGGATTGTGTTTCAGCTCTCTGCCTGGTCAGTGCAGGATTGGGACTACTTGAATCTTCCTACACATAGTTTAAGCTGCAAAAGTGTTGCAGCACACAGTTGCCCTTAGGCGATGATCCACATTTTGTGCTCCACATGCTTGATTTTGCAGTATAAAATTGTGTAGGGCATTGGGGGGAAAATGTTCTGAAATGCTTTTGAGGTGTAGCATGTTAATGCTTGTGTTTTTTATGAGTACACTAGGGCTAAAATGCCTGCAAAATGTTTGCATGCTTCACGTAAGTGAGAGCAGTTCCAGCGAACTTGAACGTTTATGTGCATTGTCAGGGACAGTCCAGTGGCTTAAGGTTAAGCATGCACAAAGATACGTGTTGACACCCTCAGCTGTGTACATATATCAGTCAGATTCACTGGGGGTTTTGCATGGTTTTAGAGTTGTCTTTTAGAGATCCAACTCCAAGGAAAAAAAGCCGAAGCACATGCTTTAAGAAGACATCTTTTCTGCAAATTAATCTTAGGATTCTAATTTGCAGCTAAGTTTGCAAAAATCCTGTTGTGTCATGTTGAAGTCACTGGCACTCTAAATTTGTTAATGGCGGGGATGTCTTTTTTAATTGTCTCCATTAAAATTGCATTTGTGTGTTTGCACTATATCACCAATTATTGCCTAGCAAAGTGGTGCTTTCAGTTCATGAACTTAATTTTGTGAAGGTTTTGGGCAGTACTAGTTAATCTTTTACAGTGATAGCAACAGGACTTACCTAAATGTTTTAATGACAAAACCAAAACCTTGAAAAGTCAGGTGTACCAAGTGTGGTATTGAGGCAGCTGGCTGACTTCTTAAATTGTAGCTCACGAACAGTAAACACTCTCCAGAGGAGTCTCGTGTAGTGCATTATTGTGGTGCACACATGGAAGCAGTAGAATACTACTAAAGTTTGTCTGTCTTGAGTAGTTTGTTAGCTCTTTTGCACAATTCAGTGTTTATTCCAAAGGAATATGGTACTTCTCTGGTCATAAATTTGTTACAATAGGATTGATATGATTTTGGCTATCTTGGGCTGTAAAATGAGACAGGATTTGGAGTAATAAGTCCTTACACAATAGGAATAGGAAAAGCAAAGCACAGTGTTGCTTTCTTGTTAATAATCTTAGTAGTCGAGTAGAGAAATAGTGTAATTTGTCATTTATAAAATCTTACTAAGCCTTTGTTTAAACTGCCAGATGAAAACAGGTTCTTTCCATTCTCATCCCACAGTAACAGTGGATGCAGACAAATAGATCAGTCTTTTTCTCTTAGAAATATTATGCAATTTGCAATGAGTTAGACAGGAAAGGAAAATAGTCAAACACTGAGATACTGCTCTTTGCCTCAACGGCATCATGAGTTTAGCCTCGTTTCTTCCTTGGGTATATAGCTGGATTCTTGTGTTTCTCTGCAATCAGATGCATCTTGAATCAAGCCCTGTTTAAATACCTGTGGAATTTCATTAGTGCTCCCTCGGATATTTGGGTACCGTATGCTGCTATTAATTTACAGTATCACAGAAACACAGAATAGGCAAGGTTGGAAAGGGAGAACAGTGGATCATCTGGTCCAGCCTCTCTGCTCAAAGCAGAATCATCCTGGAACACATTGCACAGGGTTGTATCCGGACAGTTCTTGAATATCTCCAGTGAGGGAGACTCTCTGGGCATTCCATGTTTAATTGTGTTTGCTACCAGTAGAAAATATCATTCCTGGTATGAGTGTGAGGTAGGTTATTAGAGGAAGGTTGCACTCTTGAACCTGTTTTAAGATGGGCAGTGTGGTTCAGTTTTGAGAAGTCTCATCAGACAGCACCTACCGCTTTGTTGTTGTCACACATTTTAGAATACCTGCATCTTTTGGGTTCTTTTTTCTTTCCGACTAGGCTGTATATAGGTGTCTTTTCTTAACAGTGCATGCTTGTGTGGAAGGGAAGAACAGAAGGTGTGAAAGATGTAGAGTAGTCACAGATTCTCAGAGGTGGTGGAATTGAGATGAGAGCACAAGAATGATTGTACAATGTCAGACCAAAAACCACAGTATTTTATCATTCTGTCTTTGATAGCGACTAAAAGCAGATGGTAAGAGAACAACTGAAAAATCAGGTGTATAGCAATACTTCCCTAAATTGCAGGGAGTGCCTTAGCTGCAAGTGGTATATTTATCTTTAAAATATGTAGGGTTTTCTTCTGTGAGCTCATGGAGCTATGTCTTGAATCCACAAAATTTTAGCTGTTGCAGTGGTCTCTGCCAGGGACTTTGGTGGCATAAGACCATGTCAGGTCAAGAGCTGCCTCCAACATGAGTCCTGCTAGTCATTTAAGGCCTGATATTTCACATACTGAAGAGATACAGAACTGTTGGTTCCTATTCAGGTCTCTTTGAGATGTTCCACTACATAAGTGTTGAGATACCTATCTTTAGTCTTTTATGTTGGTGGTAGCTTACAGTGCTTTGAAGCTGCTGTTGTCTGGCTCCAAAACTGTAATTCTCCCTTGAAATATTTAAAATTAGAAGCTTGATTATTTCTTAAATGGATAATTTTTTTGGGGGCACAACTGTATCTATCTGCCTCTTTGGCTGTTGAATGAATCAGGATTAATGAGAATTCAGATGGTACATAATCCTTACTACATGGTGGTTCTGATTGTTCTTTTTCCTTTTCATAGCCTTTATTTGAACATGTCTACCACAATTTCTCAGCTATCATTATCACTCGATGGCTGTATTCTTCTGTTCATCCTCATCATCTCTTTACATTTTTTCCTTTTTCTCTATACTGCTCACTTATTCATACTTGCCCTCCATTTCCCTTTTATTTTTTCCTGAGTTAGTCTCATAATTACCTATAGTTATTGGGTGTAAAACGCACTAGAAGTAATAAATAGGATAGCTATCACACATCTGTAGTAATTTTCTTATTGCATATCTTTCAGCTTTTTTTTATTGTTGTTTAGTGTAGCTATAGAATAGTACTAGCTCTTTGAGGTAGGAAATAAATTTGCAGGTTCTATGCCTCACGTTGTGGTTTCTGAATTTTGTTTGGATCTTCTGACATCAATGCAATGCTGTTGCTAAAGAAGTGAGGTTTTCTGTGGAATAGTTTTAGAAATGTTTCTACAGTATGATTGCAGTTACCATCATGAATTATTTTTCACTGTTTTTCTTGTGAAAACTTAGAAAATTTATGTCTATTATAGGAACAGCAGCAATACTGGTATCAGCAGCACCTGCTTAGCCTGCAGCAAAGGGCAAAAGCCCATGCTCAGGGACAGCAGCAGGTGAAAAGTCCAGTAGTGAAAGATGCATCTGAGCAGAGGGCAAAGTCTGAAGAAGGGAAAATGGGTGCTTCAACTCAGCAGTCTGAACCTCCTCCACTTAATGAATCCCTGCCTCCATCTTCCAAAGAAGACGAGTCTTCTCTTACATCCTCTGAAACTCAGGTAGGCCTCATAAAGTGGTGCCACTCCATTTGTTGTGTTAGACAGGCCAAAACCCAGGAAAATAATGCCAGCAAATTCTCAGGTATACTGTGTAACAATAACTAAGTAAGGTAAAGCAGTCTTAAAAAAACACTTTTGCTACAGCTACACGAATTAAAAAAATAAAAATACACTCCTTGTATGTGGACTTATATAGTCACCCACATATGCACCAAGTGAGTCCAAGCTTGACTCCCTCACACCTTCCCCAATATTGTAATCTTTGTCTATGAGAAATGCTTTGTGATACCTAAGTGCAAAATCAGGTACTTGGTAGATGCAGAGTGCTGTCTTTAAGACACTATTACTTAATTTCTCTCTGGCACTTTGTGAGTTCTGACTCCCCTTCTCTCTGCAAGTTCCGCTTGTCTGAAAGCCAAGAATTTTGCACAGAATATTTTTGTCAGTGTGCTTAACAACAGCTACTGTGTAAAGGATGGAGATCACGATCGATGTTTGAACACATTGCTGTGTGGTAGTAAATTACCCTGCTTACCTCACTTTGGCTTACAGTATGCAAGTTCCTACAAAGTGGTAAAATAAGGCACTCGGTGTTACTTTACCTCATCATGAAAAACCACTGTTTACTCATTACATTTCTGAGAAAGTTCCTGAGGACTGTGTAGTGACCGAGTGTGTTTTTCTTCTAACAGAAGTAGTTTTCATTTATTTATACTACTTGCCTTTTTCTCTAGCTCAATATTGACCCTCCTGATGACCCTGAGGAAGATTTGAGATTGCAGCAATTGCAAGCAGCAGCGGCTCAGTGGCAGCAGCATCCCCATCACCGGGTTGGGTTTCAGTATCAGAGGATAATGCAGAAGCATGCTCAGCTGCAGCAGATGGTACAGCAGTATCAACAGATCATGCAGCAGCCTCCACACATACAGGTGAAACACTGAGGAGATGATGTTTGATACACCTCGTGGATGACCTAGTACTCACGGTCTGCTGAAAAATGAGTAGTTGAATAATTTGTCATGGTTGGCTCATTTGTCTAGCTACTTTTTCTGCTTGGGTAGAAGTTTTATCCCCTTTTCCTACTGCCACTCAGCTTTAGAATTAAAAAAGAATTGACATATAGTGATGAAGCTTCAGTAGGATGAGAAATACAAGACTTTACGCTTGTCATAAGATTTTTCAGACATACCCAGGTGACACAGGAGCAAAGCTGAACACAATATTGAATTTACTCAGCTCTGAATGTTTTACTGCTGGAGAAACAATTCAGAAAGGTCAGGTAATCAGATGATTGCATAGAGTAATTTGGTAGCTACTCCTTTTTACAACATTAAGTAATAGAAAAATAAATATGTATAATGATAAAGTAAGTAAAGATGCCAAAAAATGCAGTAAACCTAATTAAGAAAATCACTCTCACATTATTTTTGACTCAAGTAATCAGTGAAATAAAAGTCATAAGTACAAATTTGGAGAATTATACCACTGTTGCAACCTTTAAGCTTTTAAGTAGAAGATGATTATTGTATTAGAGAGTTGAGTCAGCTTTTACTGGGTTGGTGGAGTTTGTACATTAAGCATTTCCTTGTAGTTTGGGCTGTCTGCTTGTCTTAAAAAAAAAAGTATCTTCAGGTAAACTTTAAAAATCTCAGGCAAGATCAAGCCATGAATGTTAGGATATCTAAGCATAATCTAAGGCAGATCTCCTTGAAAGAAGCTTCATTGTACAAATAAGATCATCTGGCAGAGGCTTAGAGAAAAATAATTGCAGACAGCTGAAGCAACTTTGAGTGGGTTAACAGCAGAAACTGAAACCTTGAGAAAGCAGCCACATACTGTATACATGTGAAGATTGATTTGGTCTATAGCCATTGTTAGGATCCAGTAATAATACAGCTTATTCAGATTATAGCTTTCTTCAGACATCCTGTTGAAAAAAAAACAAAAAAACCCAAGAAAATAAAAGTGCATGCAGGACATGCATGTCCTCTAGTCATAAAATGTGTAAATCGTCACAATGACTTTAGATGTCACAGTTGGTATTTGCTTTTGTTTCAGTGTAGTTCTTCCTCAAGCTTCTGCCCAAGTCAGAAATTGTGATATCACAAGTGATACTGAAATATGTGGCTCTGAAAATAACGAAGATGGTATTTTGAAGCTATTACTGTCTTCTCATTGCAGACAATGTCAGTGGACATGCAGCTGCGACATTATGAGGCTCAGCAAAAACAGTTCCAGCAGCTTCATAAAGATTGGGAGCGATCAATGAACCAACAGTGGCAGCATCAGCTTCAAACCTACCCTCACAAAGACCAGCTTCAAGAGTATGAGAAACAGTGGAAAGCATGGGATGAGCAGATGAAGGTCACTCAGTCCCATCTGCAGGAGAAAGTCACCTCACTCCAAAATCTGAAGAATCAGTATCCTGCAAATGTGTCGCTGCCACCACCATTTATTCCATATTCCCAAACTGGTCAAGGTGGCATTCCCATTATGCCTCCAACTTTACCTTCAACTACACCTCCACTGGTCCCTCCACCTCTCTCTTCTGTTTCTCAGTTATCCAATTCCTCTGTCCCTTCAGGATCCAGTTCTCAAAGCAGTCAATCTACTGAGACACCAAGGCCAGCTCTGCTTCCCACCCCTGGTACATACGCATCAAAAATAGGTAGTTCACCTGTCTATTCACCTTATCATTCCCAAGTAAGTTCATCCTTTGGCTCATCAGACCATGGAAAGTCTCAAGTTCATCTTGGTAAACAAACGGTATCTATTTCGTCTGAGCAAGGATGTGGGGAACTGAAAGGCACTTCTGCAGTGTCTTCGACACATGCACCTACCGGGCAGGATAAACCAGTGAGATCAGGTGGATTGCTTCCAGATCCTCCCAGATCAGCACGTTTTGAAAGCCCCAGAGGCCCTAGGTAAGAATGCTTTTGTTGATTTATACATGTTTCAGGCTACAAGACGTTCAGTGATATATGAAGAAATGAAGCATGTATCTTACTCTCAACCCTTCTGAGGTTATGTGAAGTGTATACTGGTTTGGTTGAGGTTTTGTTCTCAATGTATGTACACTATGCTCTCTGTATTTATCTTTTTAAAGCAACATATATAGGTATCTTTCACCAGAGCATTATCCAGAGTAGAGTTTGCTCTTTTTCTGATAAAGTGCTTGTGGATGCTGCACCTTTTTCATGCCCAGAGACATAATATTCCTTTTTGAAAATAGGAAAGCTTTTGTAAATATTTTGTATGTCTTTGCTGTCCTTAGTTTGAAGATGATACCTCATACTTGAAAGAGTGATCCTACATGAAAAGTGTTCTAAATTTCCAGCATTTTGGCTGTGGTACTTGGAACACAGTTTAGGAAGATCTAAGGCAAAAGTGTCAAAGGATTGTTTTTAAGGTGTTGCTATAGAAGGTAGCACTTTAATGTCATTATTCAGAAAGGGATTGAGGAAAGTATTCATACATATATTCAGTTGAATATACTAACATAGCTAATTACTGACAATTTAGGTGCTATTTATTTTTTAAAAACAATAAAAAGTACTCTTTGTAAAATCCAACACATATTGCAGAAAGTTCACCAGTACTTTAGCTTCTAGTGTGTTTTGCAGCTATATGATTGTCCTATTCAGTGCACCTTTCTAAAAGGTTGTTTGGCAAGAGAGGCAGTGCTTGTTTTGAGTACAAATCAGTGGGTTTCTATGTGTGTAGCAGTACTTAACGTTCAGACAGCTATAAGCAAGAGAGAGAAGGAAAGAAATTATCAAGCCTTAGGATCATAGCATCAGGATTCTTTGCCACTTTTTTTTTTCATTACATTATGATGGTCTTGGTTTGAAAGTCGCTGTCTTTCTCTTTTAAAGATGCAGTTTTGTTCAAATGTGAATCTGCATTTTACCAGGGGAATAGGTTGCTGCTCTGATGTAAAGCTGCCCTAAAAGCCAGTGTTCTGTGTCTTTTATGTGATTTTATACCTGCTATATGATTTAATCGAAGGTCTTGGTTTTGGAGTATTTTTCGTTAAACTTGTGATATCAGGTTGCAGAAAAAACATCTGTTCTGTCTGGTCATTAGTCCAAGATGGGCTGATGTGATGCCTACTGAAGCAGAGAACAGTTGTGGTCTGTTCAGTTGTTTTCATCCTTGCATACTCTGCTAGAGTTTGCAATCATATCTTCATGGTTGTTTTCCTTCTCTTTGCTTCCAAAGTGATCAGTCATGAATAATCATTTGCGAACTGTTGCCAGTATAAATGAATTTTTTACAACTTGGAATAATTTTCTCCCTCCTGATGGTTTTTTTAAAAGTGTTGTGTCTGGTCATGGGGATTTGTTGGATGTACAGTTCTGGACAGGCTGTTTCCATGATTTGGTAGTGCATGTCTTTTATGTGCATTGGTTTAGAGCTCAGTGATATGCAGTGATAGGCACAGGGTGTGGTTGGCTTTCTGGGCTGCTGTTGTGGTTTAGGAATAGTCTTCCCCAATTTAGTGTTCCCTCTGAAACACCCCAGACCATGTGCCGCTCACTCACTGCCCCACCTCCTCCCACTGTGGCAGAATGGAGAGGAGAACTGGAGGCACAGAAGGTAAAGATCACAGGTTGAAATAAGAACAATTTACTGAAAACAGCAATGAAATAAGAAAATTAACAGTAATAACAACTCTACTAATAACGGAATGTACAAGACAGGTGAGTGATTCACACACAATTGCTCACCCTGCAGAACTCAGTGCCACATAACCACACACACCATGCACTGCCCAAACCAGAAGGCCTTCAATCCCCTCCACATGGCATGAGGTGATGTAGAATAACCACTAGCTATAACCATTCAAGCAGCTTAACTTCAGACACGAGTTCTCTGTTTTGTGTAAAAGGAGTCTATAGGATTTTAATATGACATGTTCATTTGAATAAAATTGCTCTTGTGTCATCTGTAGATTTGATGGACCTCGAGGAAGGGGATATGACAAATTTGAAGGCTCAAGACAGAGAGGACCTCGCTTTGACTCCCAGCGCTCAGAAGGATACAGGTCACGTTTTGACCGACAGAATACAGATGGACAGTCTTCAAGCAGATGGGGATCTATCCCACGAGGACCAGCAGCACAGTTCTACACTTCAACAAATGCATCACATGGACATGGTTCCCGACCTAGTGGTCCGCGGTGGATGGGGCCCAGGCCTCATTTGGGACAGCAGCAGCAGACACAGGCAGACTCACAGTCAGAAAACAAAGAACCTTTTACAGATGCAGCTGGCAATCAGCAGACTGTAAGCAGAACAGAGTCTACGCCTGATGCACAGAGTGCAGGTCCCATTGAGCCAAATGAGGACCTGGCAAACACTCAACAGGAACCATCCAAACCTGAAGTCAAAGAAACTGTTTCAGACCCTCCTAAAAAGTGGACGTGGAGTTCACATGATCCTAACCAGCAAGTAGAAGAGTCCAAGGCACCTACTCCACCTATTCAGAACCAGAATACAGTAGCCCCTGTAACAGGAGATCAGAATTTGGATTCACCAGATGCCCAGTTGACTGCTTCGGATAGCACCCTGGGCCTACCTGGACCAGAAAACAGAGGGAAAGGGCCATTTATGCATGAAGATAGAGGCAAGGGACCAGTAAGCAGAGGAAGAGGTCGTGGTAGAGGGCAGGGGGACGGCCGCGGCTGGGGAATGGGCCGTGGCAGGGGGATGGGAAGGATGGATGGTGGCCGAGGAATGGGAAGGATGGATGGTGGGTGGGGAATGGGCAGGATGGACGATGGCCATGGCCGGGGAATGGGCAGGATGGACGAGGGCCGTGGCAGAGGATATGTATACAGGGGCAGAGGGCAGGCTAGGCAGGCGTCTATCCGTGGCAGGGGAATGTTCAGG